CGCCCGCCCTCCCGCTGGAGTTCCTGATGCCTGCCTGCGCCTGCGCCGCCCCAGTGGGGCGGAGCCCGGCGGCGTTGGGCCACCCCCTTAAGGGGCCAGGCCCCTCTCACTCCTCCCATTCCCCACTCCTTCAGTTCTCCTACCGCCCACTTCATCTCACCAGAGGCACCAGTTGCGCCTTCCTGAGGAGCCAAAAGGAGGAGAGGTGAAGCAGAAGGTAGGGAGTTCACACTGAGATGGTGTAGTCAACCGGGCCCAATGGAGGAGCACTGAAATAGGAGTCTCGAATGCTAAGCAGCAGTTCACCTGCTGCTGACTTACCGTGTGATAATGAAAAAAAATCACTTCCTTCTGGCCTCAGTTGCTTCGTTTCTAAAATGAGTAAGTTTGGAAAGTTTCCAAGGTACCAATCCAGTTAGTGTTTGACTGCAGAGAGAGACTCTAGTCCTAATCTCTCAGCAGCAGCCCAGAGGCCTGTGAACCTGAGCTGCCTCTATCCTTTCCCTGGGGCCAAGGGAGAGCAGGGGGCACTTGAATAAAGGAGAGCTGGGCTCAGACCTGTGACACTTCCTGGTGGGAATACAGGCAGAAACAGTCCCAGGCAAAGGGGGCCTTCCTCCCTCCTGCACTTCTCCCTCTTGGGCCCTTACTCAGAAAGGAGGAGAAAATTGAGACCTCCTTTTCCCAGTGACAGTGCAACCTGCATACCCAGATCCTAGTCCAACCGGAGGCAGTCTTTGGATATAGCTTAGCACCCAAAGGCTTAAGGCGAACTGGCCCTGTTACTGACTGTACTCGTCTATAAAATTGGTATAATAATAAAACAACTCTAGACACAACTGTCCCGATGATCAGACATCAGAGAACTGTGTAAAGATGATTGTATCTGCACTCCTATTTTCCAGCATTGAGCCCAAGGGCTCTGGCTTGAGGACAGTAAGGCAATGAGAAGGGGGTGTGTTCTAGATCGCTGTGGGGGGAATGGACTGGATAGATTTAGGTCATGGCATCCTTCCCTGTGAGGTGAGCAGGGCAACTTTCTACTAAATCGTTTGATAATTGTGTATAAAGGATGCCCTTTCCCAAGGAGCCAGCACCGCTGAGCAGGAGGTTGAATGCACCCCACCTGGGCCAAGAGAGGGTCTAGGGCAGGCAGGACTCCAAAGGTGATAGAACTGAGGCTCTACATGCTTAAGTAACAGCTGGTGGTAGTGAAGCCAAGATTCACATCCAGTTGTCTAACTCCACAGTCTGCTCTGAAGCACTAAGGCACAACAAAGCAACACCAAACCCAGAAGCTTTGGGAAACATCAGGTCTAACTAGATTTTTAGGATCAGTAGATGCAAACAACTGATTTGGAGCAAATTTCTCTGCTGGTAAATCAAGTTCTAAATGAAACAAGGCAAGGGGTCCAAATCACCCATCAGGACCAACCAGCATGCAGCCCAATTCCCCATTCTTCCATCTGCCCTCCAGTTGCTATCAAGAGCCAGACCCATGCCTCTGACATCCCTAGTACAGGGTTATCTGGAGGTTTAGGCTCACAGGAAAGAGGTCTCCTGCTCCCTTCTTCCATCCTGCCTAGTCCCAGCTCCTGGACTGTCCTCACCACCACACTGAGCACTGGGGCTGTGATGGGCATTGTCTCGGAGCCTGTCTCCTTCTCTGCAACTCTGGTACTAGTAGCTGGGGAGACTACTCTCCCCAAAGAGGGCTCACAGCATAATGGAAGAAATGAGATGCAGTCTTAAAAACACAAGGCTCAGGAGATTCAGGAGGTAGCTGTGGGGATAACCCCAACCCTCCAACGTGCCTGTGCCAGTCTTTTCCCAGATCTGGAATTTGAGGAGAGCTGCCCATAGCAGAGTGACTCTTCAGGGAGAAGGGCTTGTCAGGTCTAGTTCTAAGCAGAGGCGGCTCAAGCTGCTTGAGGGAGGCTTGGAGGCAGTGCCCTTAAGAATCTCCACTGTGAGATGCTTGTATGCGGGGTAAGCAGGAGGGCAAGGAAGGCAGTTTTGGGTGGTGAAGGCAGCCTGGCTCATACCTGCAAGCGGGTGCTCAGCCAGGAGTGGTCAATGCTGCTGAGTGATTGCCCTGAAGGTTTTTGTTTGTTTGTTTTATAAATAGAGCGATGTTTTTTAAACTACTGTTGGAACCTATTAGTGGGAGGTAAAATTGAATTAGTGGGTTTTGACTGGCTTTTTTTTTAATGAAAGAGGACAATAATAGAATAGAAAATATCAGAATATAAGGTTTTGAACTTTTCATTGCAATATAACATACAACCAGAGAAGTGCAAAGACTTGGGTATTTTACAAAACGAGTATACCCAGCACCCAGCTCAAGAAACAGAATGTAACCAGCATCTGGAAGTCTCCCAAAGGTAAGTTTTAAAAGAAAATGTATTAATCTTTGAGCATGCCTTTCATATTCATGATTTACTTTCTTTGGGGGGGAAGGTAATTAGGTTAGTTTGTTTATTTTATTTTAATAGAGGTACTGGGGATTGAACCCAGGACCTCATGCATGCTAAGCACATGCTCTACCCCTGAGCTATATCTTCCCCCTCATGATTTACTTTTAACTTTCTGAGCACCCCCCCACACACACACGCACACAGAACGTAAACCCCACAATAACAGGGAGTTTTGTCCAGAAATAGACTGGCACAGGCACCTAGAACAATGCTGAGCACACAGTAGATGCCAACAATATTTATTGAATGGATGAGAGTGCATCACAGGTAGTGTAACAGAGCAGGACCCTCTGGGGCCTTCCCCAGACAGATCCCCACCCACCATGTCCTCTGCCTGCCTCTTGTCTGTAGAAAGAACTTTAGCCTCCTAGGCCTTCCCCAAGTTCCAGAGAATAAATTTAATCAGAGAAGTGAGAAAATGCAGAAAGAAAGGAAAACAGTCAAGTATGAGAAATGATAATAGTTTAGCCATTAAACAAGGACAAGGACCTTTAAAAGTTTCTCCTCAAGGGCTATAAATTGAGCCCTGTCCTTTGAGCTGTTTTGCAGATACTGAAACCCCAACCAAGTTGAAGTTAACTGTATGCTGCCCACACGCACATAGACCCCAAGTGAGTTGAACCCAAAAGGTTGATGATGTTGACTCCCAATTACTTCACCAACCAATCAGAAGAGTCTCCGCAAACTGATCACACATTCCACAACCCCCCTCCCTCATCCTGCCTTTAAAAACCTTTCCCTGAAAGCCACTGGGGAGTTGAGGTCTTTTGAGCACTAGCTGTCTGGATTCCTTGTCTGGCGTGCTGCAGTAAACACTTCTCTTTCCTTCCTCACAACCCTGTGTCAGTAGCTTGGTTTTACTGCCCACGGGCCCACGCACCCAAGCTTGGTTCAGTGACAGTAGTAAAGGTATGGTTTTTGTGATATTTTTGTTTCATTGTATATACACATTCTATGTCTTGATGTAAAATGTGTTCCTTTTGGTAGGCAAAACTTCTGAAGGCCAGTTCTCCAACTTGAGAAAGTTGTGGAGGCTGTGGTTTGGGCCAGGGTGGTGAGCATGGGTGAGGCAGGACAGTGTGCCGAGTAGACCAGTGCTTCTCAAACGTCAGTGTGCCACTGAGTGACCTGGGCATCTCGTTGAAAGGCAGGTCCTGATTCAGCAAGTTGGGAAGGGGATGCTGAGAGTCTACATTTCGGTCAAGTTCCTCCACTTTGAGTAGCAAGGCCTTGAACTCAAAGATTCTCAATAATGCTGCGTTTAAGAATCCCATGGGAAGCTTTTAAAAACATTGCTGCCCAGGCCCCACCCCAGAACCATTAAATTGGAATCTCTAGGGTGGGGCTCAGCATCCGTAGGTTTTAAAAGTTTCCCAGGTGATTTCCACGTGCAACCAGAAACGGTAAGTTCTAATTCCCTCAAGTACCTGCAGTGCCTGAGCAGAGGTGGGAGGGAAGTGAGGTGTGGGGTCACACCTGGTATCTAAGCAAACGATCAGTTTGACAACAAGCATAAGATTTCTTAGGAATGGACCATTTGCCTCTTAATGGAGGTGACGGGAGGGATTTCTGAAGGAATTTTTAGGCATGGGGCTGTCTGCTAACTGAGGTCGCTTCCTCCCAGGACCAAGAACAGACCGTGCCTTCACCTTATCCAGCGAGTCAGAACTCCCCTGAGCTGGCCACAGGGCTGGGCTCACCTGCCCCGACACAGTTCAGACAGTTTCAAAACCTTCCTAGGGCATTGGCAGGAGGTGCTGCTCCCCCGCGCCTACCCCCTCTGCCCAGATAGAGAAAAGGTCAGAAGAGCCAAGAGATTACAAGCCCCGGATCAACGTGGGCTATTCAGGATGAAGCGCCTTAGTTCTGGGTTCTCACGCCCCCTGGTGGACACCTAGAGTTGAAGTTGGAGACCAGTGGGCTACCAAATCCAGGTATTCTTTTTAATTTTTTATACAATTTTTAAAGGTTAATTTCCATTTACAGCTATTATGAAATATTGGCTATATTCCTCGTGTTCTGCAAGATATCCTTGAGCCTATCTTCCCTATACCCAATGGTTTGTACCACCCACTCTCCAACCCCTATGTTACCTTCCCT